ATTATTCAAAGAAAAATAAAATGGTTCAAGAGACGGTGAGGGGGCCTGTTGCTACCTTGCTTGAAGCATCTAAGCAGGGGCTGAATGGCAAGGTATTGGAATTGCTATTAGCTTAACTGATAAACAACCTCCAGTACTCTTCAATTTCTAGAAGTCTTTAAATTGTGAATCCAGTATTTTTTCTCTTGGACATTTCCTCAGTTAAATAAATGATTATTGAGCATTTGAAGTTAAAAGCAAACTACCCAGAGATTCATCATCTGAGAGAACTAGACTCTGAAAAATATGGTATGTGGTTTAATACAAACATTTCAGCCATGTTATTTGAGTTACATGGTAACTTAAGTTATATAACACTGTTTACACTTTAATATCTTATAAATATTCTTCCAGTCTTCGTCTTTTTAAAAACATTTTTATGCCAGACAGTAAAGCTCATGTTTGTCATCCCAACCCTATGGGAGGCCAAGGCCGGAGGATCACTTGAGCCCAGGTGTTCAAGGCAAGCCTAGGCAGCATAGCTAGAACCTTTCTCTAAAAAAATAAAATAAAATAAAAATAACTTTGAAAATTAGCCAGTCTTGTGGCAAGCCTGTAGTCCCACCTACTTAGGAGGCTGGGGTGGGAGGATCAATTGATCCTGGGAGTTGGAGGCTGCAGTGAGCTACGATCACACCACTCCACACCAGCCTGGGTGAAAGGGCAAAAACTTGTCTCAAAAAATAAAATAAAAGCATTTTTATAGTATACTTTATTTCCTGAGCATTCAATTCACTGTGTGTGTGTGTATCCATGTGTACACATGTGTTGTGAGCAGGTAATGAAAAAAGCAGCATTTGGAAAACATTCTTTACCAAGGTTTACCTAGAAATAAACTATTTATAAGTAATATTCATTAATGAGATTTAATAAAATGTCCAACAATAAGAATACTTGTTAATATTTCAAAACAGCATATAAAATATAATTGGCATGTATAAATAATTCCTTAAAAGTGCATATTTTCATACTATTAGTCAAATATTGTGGTTTGAAATGAAACACCTCCATGGAGTGAGTTTGATAGAGCTGATTGAAAGTGCAGCTGCTAATTTGGGCCCAAAATCAGCATTAAAATTGTGCCATTATATGTATTTTCCTGCTATGATGAATAACAAAATAGAAGATAGTGTTCTATTGTAAATCACACTCACAAAAAGGGAGATTCTTTTAGCATGTTTGAAAAATTGCTATTGAGATAGTATACACAAAGGATTACAACATCTCAAAAAGACAGTAATCAAACATGATTAAAAGTTGCGATTACTGCTACAATTTATACATTATGTCAATAAGATGTCTTAGCCATGACTTTTGCTATTTGACAGACATTTATAATACCTTTAGTGTATCTGGGTATATCAGTCTTGCTGTGTTTATTTCCATTTGTTTCATCAATCAAATTTTCAAAATAAGAATGCTTTTGTGACTTATCACTACCAATGTGACTGATACCTCTTTCATATAACATAAGAGTTATATTTGACTTTCATGTTTAAAAACGACAGGTTATAGAACTCAATATTTGGTGTAGTACCCACAAATATTTTAGCTATGGTAACGATCCTTAAGAGATTCACATTTTATAGAAAATAACATACAATTACCAAATAAAATTTTCTTAGCAAATAGAGCTGTGAAGTGAATTTTATATGTTTAAAAATTATTTTCTCAGTAACTGCTGGCTTTACAAATAAAATTGGATAGGGGATTTATGTTGGATAAGAAACTTTTTGTAGGAACATCGGATGATTAGTCAAAAGAGAAAAGACCAAAGCTTTGCACAATCTAAATGACTGAGCCAATCATCCACAGGAAGACCCCAAGCCCTCAGAACCAATCCTTTTGTATCCTATGACTCAGAGTGACAGAAAACCAACATGGCTTCTCTGGTTTCAAGTAGAACTGTCATGACTTCATATTATTATTATTTTAAAATGCTGTATTTGCTTAAACAATTCTCACTGAATAATACTAAAATTCTTTAACAGAGAAGAGATACTGGTCTACAATAAAAAAAATAAGGTAGATGCTAGAAATAAAAAATACAACAAAGACCACACATCCAATAAGCAATGATCAGGGATGCCAGAGCTACTTGGACAATTTCCTTCATTCTTCTCAACTCCTACACACATACCGGTACTACCATTCATCCTCTGCAAAAAACCATAAATATATGTTTTTCCTTTTTATTTTTTGTAAAGACATAAAAATGTTCATGCCAACATGTGCCACAGTGTAGATTCAACATGTGCTAACAATGTAGACATAAGCCCATGTACTCACCTGGCAGCAATGCATTTTCAAGAAGTCATTTAACATTCAGATTCTGCATTTATTTAAGGCATTAAATATGGAATATCAGTTTCTACTCACAAAGGATTACATAAAAGATGTAAGTAAGCCTATTTTGAAGATTGTAATGTGCTCTAAACATATGTTTATAATGATAAAGAGGCTTACACAGTCTAGTGTTTAATGGTAAATAAAATGTTAACAAATTCTCTTAAATATATGTATATATATCTAAAAAGTTTGAAAATATTGAAAAGGTTTACATCATAGGCCATAATGCCAAGATAAATAATTGTGAGTTCTAGAAGTTAAATATATTAGTTCTGGTAATATGCACCTACAAGGAATCAAAATATAATATTTAAAGGAAAATATAAAAATATTGTTTTAAAAGAGGTCCTATATTCTGGGCTGAATTTTAAATTTAGCATATCTCTTCATTAAATAAAAACATGTTGAGATATTCCTTCACTTTAAGAAAACCTGACAAGAAAGGCGTTACTATAGTTTATGCTGCATACATTTTGCATGATGCCAATATCTAGTATCCTTGAAATTAGCGGTGAACTTATAATTCATATAGCACTAATTTGCATACAAATTTGACACATACAAAAGCTTAATGGCCAATATTCTCTTATTCATTCTAACCCTTCTTATTGGTGTTTTTATTTTTTGGTTTATAGTAGGCACTCTATATATAAGTGACACAATCCATAACTTGAAAAGGTAAGAGCTATTTCAATATATTGAGAGAAGAAAAAAGGCTGTAAAAATGACAGTAATATAAAATTCAAATGATATGCCATTTAATAAAATAAAATGCATTTAATACACAGTATAAAATAAGGAAGCTAGGCTCCAGCTACAAAAATATAATTTGGTGTCTTATTAAGCTAAATTCCCTAATAGGAAAATTTAAAGTATTTTCATTGTAGAGAAAATGTTTATTGTCAATTTAAACCTACAATGTTAAATGTAAGTGTCAATTCAGTTATATATTTTTGTCTTTTAGAATTTCTTAAGGGTTCATTATTATTCCATTTCTGTACATTTTCAGTAGCACATCAAGAAAGATTATTTAAAAATAGAGAATATGTTGAGGTATTTTCTGATGAATACGCTTGCCATACACGCCAAGAATACTTAAGAATCTGGGGCAGGTTTCAGGACCAAGACTATAAACAGTGCTGTCGAGACTGAAAATCTAGATAACCAGGACACTGAACATAGTAAACATAAGAATGCTTCTGATTTCTGGTAGATAACAGTAAGCACTTACTACAATTCACTTTTACGATGGTGTTATACCAAATACAATATTTAACACGGACCCTCCAAGCAGGTTTGAACTGTACTAAAGTAGCTGTCTCAAAGAAAACCATAAAATGATCCCATTCTGCCTTTTATATTTGCAGAAGTGGTTTCTTTTTGCAAAAGAAGCTATGCCAACCCCTCAATACAGTACACAGGAACTTGCATGCTCCATCACTGAAAAATCTTTGAGATGAATTTTAAGTACAACATCAGAGTCAAGCCACCTGCCCTACCATAAAGAAATACCAGCAATCTGACATATCAATAGTATTCACAGGTGCAGATATATATTTATGGGACTCTATCAGCATAAATCCAATGGCTATGAATAAAACATAAAGCATCACTTAACTCTACAAGGACTCAAATCCAACTTTAGAAGCAGAGCAGTGCTAAATCCCTTGCCACTGATGGAAAAAAGTAAAAAAAAAAAAAAAGCCACAAAATACCAATAATCACAACAAAAACAACACCTCCATAACAACAATTTCTTTAATATGTTATGTTCAAGATTTCATCAGTCTTTAAACAAATTCACTGTAATGTTTATTTCCAGACATAGAGAAATGAAGGTCATATAAAATTTCTAAATTTTCAATGTTACCATAACTTGGCAGGTGCACTCCTTTGCAATATGATAGATAGCAATGCACAGCGGGGCGCGGTGGCTCACACCTGTAATCCTAGAACTTTGAGAGGCTGAGGTGGGCAGATTGCCTGAGCTCAGGAGTTCCAGACCAGCCTGAGTAAGAAGGTGAAACCCGTCTCTACTAAAATACAAAAAATTAGCCAAATGTGGTAGTGTGTGCCTGTAATCCCAGCTACTTGGGAGGCTGAGGCAGGAGAATCGGTTGAACCGGGAGGCGGAGGTTGTAATGAGCCAAGATCGCCCACTGCACTCCAGCCTGGGGGACAGAGCAAGGCTCCGTCACAAAAAAAAAAAAAAAAAAAAAAAAAAGCAATGCACATGATGATGAAGCATACTTCCACTGAGACAATAAAATATGTAGGCCATGATATCTGAGGTCAAATGACATCACCTCCAGTACCCACTTTCCCCTGCATTAAAGAGGCCGGTCTACATCTTATCAAACAGTTAAATGTCAAGCACCTACAGACACTCTGATCAAAAGAACATCTTTAGTTTTTGGTGGTGAACCACAGAAGACACTAGGGATCCATTGCAAATACCCACATTCCAAGTCAAACAAAAGAATATACAACCCAAGAAAAGCCAGCCCTTCAATAGCCAATGACATAAATGCAACATGACGTGAAAGAAATTGCAGCACCCGGTTACAAAACCACTTCAGACATCATAGGGAAAGAAAAAGGTTTTTACCCACCTGGGATCTTTCTGAATGCTATCAATGGACGGGGACCTGGCCAAGGTGCCTTCGGGCGGGAGAGCAGGGCCGGATTTGCTGTACGGAGACTCAACAGAGGGACAATACTGCAGCTGTCGGTAGGGGTCCGCGTAATTGGAGGCCGGGCCTGCGGCATAGCTGGCCCTCTGGAAGGTGGCCGCGGCGGCATTCTGCGGGCCATGCTGGCTGCCTGTGCGCTGCAAGGGGACGGAGTCGACACCAGGGGAAGATGGGGCTACGACAGGAAAGTAGGGACAAAGTAAAAAATTGAGGACCTGCTCACAGAAACGGTTAACCAGGTCTAGGCAGGGGCGGGGGAAGTTACACACATAAAAAATAGGGGTTCAAAAGAATAAACAAAATTAATCCATCATATTTAAACCAATGCAGTCCATGTTATCCAATCAAATGATAATTAGCATGCCTCAGAGACAAACCTTTCAGGTATGGGGGGAATGCATCTGTTGTGTGTTCTGTTACCCACATCCAAGAGAAGGTGTGTGCTCAGCTGCAATGTAAACTTTGCGCAGAAGTAAAACTCAGAAGAAATATAATGAATATTTTCTAAGGAGGCATGGGAAGTTAGTTCTTTGGTGCTCAAGTTAACAACGTTCAGAATGAGTTCAGGTAATGTTACATTAACTTTATGAAGGGTGTAAAACAAATTTAGTAATGTAGCTAATTTTCCTGAATCAAAGAAAAGAAGACGTAGTGAGAGGGAGTGCATGCATGCGGGTGGAGGTGGGGAGAGGTGGGGTTCATGTCTCCAATCAGCACCAGAACATTCAATGCAGGACTGCTCTAGTTGCTGTAAAGTAACTCCCGAAAGATTTTTCTATGCCTCTTTTTCAAGTGAAGCTGTCATAGGAACAAACACATTTGGTGAAGGGAGAAGGAGGCAAAAACCAACCCAACTGCAAGGCAGACAAAATAAGGAGCTGACTTAGCTTTTCCGAAAGTATTTGCATCTTTTCAATGTGTCTAAATTGTTTTGAGAAGATTTTACACTAGTTACTAAAATCAGTTTGACTATTTTCAAATTGAATTTCAATTTTCTGTTTCCTTCTTGGATTCTTTTTAGATCCTTTCATGTCATTATTTTTATCTAGTTCTCAAAATATATTTGACATCCAAAGTTTGGTTGACACATACGATGAAAATAGCAGTTATTAACTGCCTTAGTGGCTGATAGCCATGATCAAGAGTAGACAGCCCACTTGATTTCTGGGGCTACAGAGCAGATTTCATATCAACAATACAGCCAGTGGCTAGATAGGTCCATTTATGCCACAGATGCTCTATATGGAATTAGGTTCCAATTATCAATTACACTTCACCACCCAGACTTCCTGACCATTTCTTAGTGGCCAATGATACAGCTTATTTTATCCTCTTTTACAATAGGGGACATATGCCAAATCAGACACAAAGGAAATTACATCACGCTGAGAAAATAATTATTAAAAGAGGTAAGGAAATTGTGTTGAAATGATGAAAAGTTGCAAAGTGAACTGGAGGAATACACTGTAATACTGAGATTGACTTAAGAGTTCGGGGCTTTTCTTTGCCAATGAACTTTAAATACTTCATCTTAGAATTACAAAAATTTAGAAAAGTAGGTTCCATAACATGACAAAAATGACAAACACATTTAAGAGAACCTTCATACACAAAAAGCACACATTTCCCAGACGAAAAATATTTTGAAATAATGAAGATTTCCCTGATGTGTTAAGTCTCAAAATAATCAGATTAAGCTAATAAACATTAATGGCACTGTCGGAAAATCTGCTTTATGCAAGTCTTTATGCAAGTATTTGAGGATTTATCTTTTCTCCAAAGTATTATCAGCATGTGTAATTAAAATTCACATTTTAAAATTTATGCAGTGTGCCTTAATTATGGTGAACGGGGTTTAAAATTTAGGCAAGTCGTACTCTTGGATGAACAAATGTAAAGAGGTAAACAAAATTTCATTTTCTACGGGTTGTGATAAGCTAGTCAGAGAATCCAGGACAAATGGAGAAAACTAAGAACATCTGGCATTTTTCATAGATGTGCATTTTTTTTCCATTCAGGAAACTAAGCATCAACATTTAATCTTGCTGAAATGGCTTTCAGAAAAGAAATGTTTTTCTATAAAAAATTATTCGCTATTAATATATTAAATACAATGATTAAAGTGTCAGAGATCAGGAAATAATATTAAAATCTAAAGAAATCTTTTTGTTAAAAAAAAAAACAGAGTAGGTAAGGAGAACCATTTGACTACCCACACAAAAAACTCTCAAAGGATCATGAAGTAAAAAAAATATATATATACAAGAAAGAGTTTAAGAAAAATACTGCCAAGCAGCAGACAAAAAATTGTGAATAATGTAAGAGGGACTCGTTCAAAATGTGAAAATAGGGTGAGAAATTCATTTAATTAAGCAGGAACAGGAAGACAACATCTTGGTATGCACAGAGGAAGAAAAGGTAGGAGAAAGTTTATGAATGTTATACTGTTCCTATTTTGGTTTGTTTTACATCTTAGTTTGAAGAGTGATATCACTATTATGAAAAAAGAGGTTGAGATATGAAATCTAAGATGAGCAAAGAACTTTCAAAAAGATTATGTATTTTAAAAAAACACAATCACATGTGTAGTTTCAGCCTTGACAATTGGCCTTTTAGAAATGTCATTCCCAAATCCATGGTTTAAGCTTCTTTTAGGTCACAATAAATAAAACAGCTGATGAGAATTTCAAAATATAAAGCCGGAATCCAAATTGGTGCTGTTATAGTAAAATAAGTTAGAGACTAATCTATGCAATTAAAATAATGTAAAATACTAGTAAAAATGGAGAGAAAAACACACTGTATTCAAGGGCAGGTTATATTCACAAAAAAGAAAATGTATGAAAATCTAATGGATCTCAAACCAACCATTAGTAATGTAACAATATAATACCTTACTTTGTAAAAGTATATATAAAAAACAATTACTTTAAATGAATGAAAATCATTAAAAATCTAACATGTAGAGAACATTAAATAAATGAGCTCTTATTATTACCATTAACAACTTTGAAATCAATCAATATTAGAAAACAGATATGTGCATATGGCATTGAATAAAATGCTGCAAAGATTCAGGGTTCAAGTCTCCCATCTGGTCCTAACTATTTAGACCTTGACGTGGCTTATGTAACCCTTGGCTCTCTGTTAATATGGATAAATTAGTATCGGTCACACTATTAAAAGACTTCCGTTTAATACATTTTTTTCCCTGAATTTCTGGACTGTTGAACACTTTTCCTTATTTGCGTTTTACAGCTCAGTTGACCAAACCATTCTCCTTGTAGGGTTACTCTACCCAATTGAACCTACTCAGGGCAAACACTAGAGACGGAATGTGCTTCAGCAGCTCTGTAAACACACTCCTCTCTCATCTCACCTGCTCTGCAAACAGCCCCTTCTCCCTCAATAAGCTCTTAGAATTCAATGAACTGTATCAATGGTGGCTTTGGGAGATTTAACAAGTAGCCACTTCAGCAGCTGACTTGATACTTCAAAAGACACCTTTGCTTTCATGAAATTATCTGTTTGTTTTCTGCAGAGCTGCACAAATAAAGACCTAGTTTATACAGGAAAAATAAAGAGATGTTTTATGTTTCTATGCTATATTTGTTTGAAAAAGGGGAAGAGGCATTCTTTCATATAAAGTTAAATATTCTGCTTTATAATAGATGATTGCAAGCATTATTTACTGACAATGGAAAAAAAGGAGAACAGAATAAAATACAATAATCTGGGCACACAGAAACTTGGTGGGGGGAATATAAAGTCATGTTCAATAAAGAGGAAGAAAAAAACACTAATTTTTGGATTATTTATCTTTGCCTTTAAGCATCCTGCATATACAGATAAATATGAAAACATAATGCACATTTACACATTATGGAAATATAAAATAAGCATATAAGAAAGTAATTAAAGAATGTCCCCCTGAAAGCTCAGAAAATAAGAATGGCTTAGATGACAATGGGTCCAAGAAAATGGCCTATATACTCTTAAAAGAAATTCACCTCCATTTCTTTAGGGGTGGGGCATCTTTAGCACCCGATACGGCATATATCCAAGAGAGTCATCACCAAGAACTGAACTATAAACATTTTCCAATTTTCTGTACTCAGCACAAGCTGATCCATGCTAAATTCAATGGAAGCATACTCAAGGGCAAATTTAAACATATGAAATTTGAAATAATTTCATACATTACTATCTTTGTGGGAGAGGAGTTTAATGCATGATTCTTAGTAGTAATAAAATAATTATCATTGGTGTTGATCTTATTTTCCCTGCTTTGATTGGAAAATAAGACACTGAAAACACCAGGACAGGTCAAGCATACCTGTCACATTGGTTTTCAAACTGAATGTGGGATCATGTGCATGAAGATATTGTAGATGTATTTGAAAGAGAACATGATGTAAAATCCTACCCTTAAATAGTTTTCAGAGTTTTATTCTTGTTATATCCTTGAAATAATTTTAAAAGGAAAGCTCTTTATTTGGATAAATGGCTAATGCATGTGGGGTTTAATACTGGGTAATGGGTTGACAGGTAAAGCAAACCACCATGGCACATGTTTACCTATATAACAAACCTGCACATCCTGCACATGCACCCCAGAACTTAAAAAAAAAAATTCAGCCCAGGTACAGTGGCTCACACCTGTAATCCCACCACTCTGGGAGGCCAAGGCGGGCGGATCAGAAGGTCAGGGGTTCAAGACCAGCCTGGCCAAGATGTTGAACCCCGCCTCTACTAAAAATACAAAAATTAGCTGGGTGCAGTGGCAGGTACCTGTAATCCCAGCTACTCGGGAGGCTGAGGCAGTAGAATCACTTGAACCTGAGGGGTGGAGATTGCAGTGAGCTGAGATCAAACCATGGCACTCCAGCCTGGGCAACAGAGTGAGACTCTGTCTCAAAAAAAAAAAAAAATTCAAGATGAGGTATGAGGTACTATGATCGTGTTGGAACTTTGAATAACATTTTTATGACAGCGGTGACTATACCTATCTTAACCAATAGCCTTGTAATGGGCAGAGAGACTTTTATGTAAGTATAATTTGAAAAAATGCAAGCTCCTCATTACGTCTTCACAATATAAATAAGCAGTTAAAAATATGATTAACAGAAAGGATCCTGTTTAATAATCAGCAATGGCTGCTACTAAGAATGTTAT